AAGGCAGGGAACAGTCCAGGATGGGGTGCCGCCCTATCACAAGGCAGGGAACAGTCCAGGATGGGGTGCCGCCCTATCACAAGGCAGGGAACAGTCCAGGATGGGGTGCCGCCCTATCACAAGGCACATTCACACACCATTCACACCTTTGGGCAATTTGGTAACTTTAGTTAACCTCAGCATGTAGCATGCTTTTGGACCATGGGGGGAGGGGTGAATGAAGGAAACCCCACAATGACATAGGAAGAACATGCAAACTCCACACACACACAGAACCCTGGTCCCAGAGGTCTGAGATAACAGAGCTAATCACTGCACCACTGCGCTATCCCAACTGCATTCAAATGTATAATTAAAACGAATGAACTAGTTTTTTAGCTCTTACCAAAATTTTAAGCATGATCAATATTTTCAGATGTCCCAGCTCAAGTGCAGATGGTTGGTGGAGACAGGGAAAAAGCTTATTTGCTGAGTATTGCACCTGGGACTTGCCTTAATTGAGCCCTAGGTTACAGAGGTGTAACACACTGTAAGATGGAGGTGGCATCCCAGAGTGGGACACACTCTACACTTGTACCTCTTTACTAATAAAATACTGGCCTCAGAAACACAAAATCAGACCCTGACACCTGAAAAGAAAGCCAGCTGTAGCCTTACACAATCCTCTATTACTTCCTACCCAGTATCACAGATACCCAGTATAACAGAGACACACAGTATCACACAGATACCCAGTATCACAGAGATACCCAGTTTCACAGATACCAAGTATCACAGAGACACCCAGTTCACAGATACCCAGTATAACAGAGATGCCCAGTATCACAGAGATTGTCATCCAGCCAAGCTCTTGCAAATACACAAGATTATGTAAAAATATTTCATACAACATCTAATTTTAAAAAGATTTAAATATAAGCCTTGAATTCACGGCAGCAGCCTACAACTTGAGAATGGTAATCGGTAAGGACTGCAGTTTTGTGGTTCTCTAAGCACGACATCCAAGAACCATATTAAAGGCATGTGGAATATTGTTCAGACCCAGCTGGCAAGCCGCTGACAAGGTCCGATGAAGTGTGCTGTTTGGTGCTGTTTTTAATAGAAAGTATAGCATATTAAATTATTCACGATGATTAATGGAATGCATTGTGCTTTGGCATTATTACTTAGTTGATCTTATAATCCTAGCTATTTTATTTGACTAGAAGTAAACTGAATGCATAAAGAATACAAGTGAGACAAAAACCCAGATGTTAGACATAGCATGCTGTCCACACTCTTGCTTTGGCATTTTTCTGATTATTTTTTCATTAATTATTGCTGTAATCGTCCTTCCAGACCTCTGGAGAAACAAGACAGCAGAAAATTGATGATCATGTATGGCCATACCACCCCCCCTTTCCAAATAACTGATCAAATGCTCCATCTAATAGAGGCACCAAAGCATGCTCAGGTCTAGTATAGAGGCACCAAAGCATGCTCAGGTCTAGTATAGAGGCACCAAAGCATGCTCAGGTCTAGTATAGCTCCCGTCCTCTCAGCTCACCTACATCCCAGTGACTGTTTCCATAGGCTTTGCTGCATGAGTGCTGATACCTACAGAAAGAGTAAATTCTCTAACAAAATGTTATGATTTTAAACTTTAAATCTTGTGAATTTCAAGCTCAACAATAAAGATGGAGCTGACTGGTCAATTAAAATCTTGTAAAGGAATTACAGTCGTTTAGCAGCAATTATGCTGTAATTTTATCATTATTGTCAATATAAGCAAGTGGTCCTTGAATAATGTGTTTGTATAGTATTTCATTAAACAAAACCGAAACTCCTATTGCAATTATTTTTAATTTTATATATTGTACCAACTTATAGCTGCTGATTAATTGTAACCTGGTCCCTTTTCCCCAGCACATTATCCTTCCTTCGACTGAGCCATGAAAAGTATCCATGACCACGCAACCTAAAGTGCACTGCAAACGTTCATTCACAAGTACAGTATTCTCTCATTTTCCAAGGTGGTGGGGGTGAGTTCAGTAATAAAGCATAATATACAGCCGTTAACCACCATTCATTATCATGATAATCTTGTTGTTGCAAATATCATATAAACTCGCTCGTTTTGATAATTTTTTAAATCAGTTTCATTATTGTAAATGAAAAACCTAGCGGAAAGCTATGCTTTCTACCTGGTTGGAATTTTCGGCTCAGTCTCCTTTAAGTATAGCACGGAACTCACGCAAATTCGCAGCCGTCTAACTAAACCATTAATTCAGCAGCCGGCGTTTTCTTGTGAGCCCGGTGACAGCAGTTTTATCTGTATATGCGAGCAGCAATGGGAGGAATTAAATGCGGAGACTTGCTCACATCGCGACCAGCTACAGTTTCAGCCATCAGCATTTATTTAATCGGGTTTGTGTAGGATTGTTTAGAACTGTTTATTCCGCGGTACTGACCACGCAGCCTCCGCAGGTTTTCGGTCTGCCGGGCAATAATCGCAGCACGCCAAGATGGTCCGCATCGCTAGCGCGGTGGTTTTCTCCATGTTCAGCGTGGTTTTGCTCATCTTGTCCTTCCTCAGCTACGTGTCAATTAAAAAAATATATATCTTCACAGCCCCGAAATATTCACATGCAACGGGGATGTATATGTTTCATGCTGGATTTCGGTAAGTGATGGTTAAAAAGCCGTAAACGTTTGGGCTACATTACTGTAAGTATTTATGTTTATTTGTATAGGCATACGTGAAGCTGTTTCATGTGCACTTAGAGGCGTAAGTCAGTTCACGAAGTTATTAAATGAGTTGCTGCTGGCAAAAGTGCATTGCAGTCTGCAGTGCAATGTTCCTCGAGTTTTGCCCTTCCTGACTGCGTTTCAGAGTGCGATGACCTTCTCATTTAGGGTAGAGAAGAAAAAGGGTAAGAGATCTTGGATCAGACTTACATGATTAAATGTCACAGCGAAAGTAACTTCTGTATTAGTGAATTCAGAAGATCTCACTTAGCAGATATGTACATTCCGTTTATTTGAGATGAATGCAGTTTAGACTTCTGGATCTTAACTACAGGATCATTTAAAAAAATATTTGTTTTCCGGAATAAATAATTACTGAATGAATAATTTAAAGAAACTTCAATTTAAATCAAATATACCCCCATTGAACAAAAATTTCGCTCTCTATCATAAAAATTCCGAGGCCAGAATGCTGTGTCAGCAGTAATGCGATGGTTGTTTTAGTTCTCCTTGGTGCTGATACTCTGCCAAAGCCATTTTCATGAACTAATCATTTTCACTGTCTGAAGGACAGGTTCTGTGGAGGAAGCAATTTTAAACATTTAAAGCAAAGTACACTTTTTGCTATTTTGTTTAGTTTTAAAGAATAATAGGAATTTCTATAATGTTAACATGCCTGGTGGGAGGGGGAGGGGGGGACTTGCCAGTTGACCTTGGGCCCCCAGAGGTTTTTTTCCTCTCTACTTGGGAGTTTTCGCTTCCTGTCCTCCATTGCCTTCTGGTTTTCTTTCTTTCATTTCTTTGTCTGTTTGTGAAAGGTGCTATATGAAAATAAACTGATTTGAATTTAATTGAATTGGCATAATATAGCAGCATGTTAGCTTGTGTGTCAAAGAATTCCAGTAAAATGTAAAAAGTGAAAAGTTTATAATTTCTTGGTGGTAGAAACTTCAAGTATTAACACGGAGCACTGGCTGTTACATATAAAGTATAGTCATCATATAAAGAAATCGTATTATGCATATATTTACTGCCACCTTTATATAAGGCCTTCTTGGGGAGTTAAATAGACAAAGTCAGACCTCAGATAAATTATAAAAAATAATGAAACCAATAAAGACTTGAAGCTGTGGTCAGGAAGCTGTGGTCAGGATTTCCACATTTCAAAATAGCTGCCAATATTTAACTAGGTAATGGAATTAACTAATTGACAATTAATTAAATTAATTAATTGAGAGAATCACCGATGTAAGTAGTTGATCAATGATTTAATTTAATCTCTTTTCTTGTTGAAGAAGAAAGGTCTTTTTTTTTCAGGACACAGTTTGCATTGAAGTTCCTGGACCAGTCCTTCATCCCGTTAACCACCACAGAGGAAATGCAAAGCGCTACTGAGTGGAAGTTTAACCAGACAGCAATCATGCAACAAAGGTGTCCAGACATTGTGAAACTTTCTCATGCCAAATTTGCATTGTGATCATGTTTTATGCTTTTTTTCTAGGTGTTTACTAAAAGTCAATGACTGAGGCATTGTGTTGTGGCAGTCCTAATATTTACCACCAGTTTGATTGATGACATGTTATTATGTTGATATTTGACGGTGTGAGCCATTACGGCACGAAACAATGTCAAAAGAGCCTAACTTACTTGTATGTCTTGCAGGGAAGAAATTTCTCATTACGTTGATGTGCCAAATAACTTCTCCCTGACTAAGGACAGGGTGCGTGTGGGCCAGCTGATGCACTATGACTACTCCAGTCACAAGTATGTCTTCGCCATCAGTGGTAACTTCAAGTCACTGCTCCCTGACTCTTCGCCCATCCTGAACAAACATTACAACATGTGCGCCGTGGTTGGAAACAGTGGCATCCTTACGGGCAGCCGGTGCGGGCCTGAGATTGACAAATTCAACTTCATCTTTCGCTGCAACTTTGCCCCCACAGAGATCTACCACAGAGACGTTGGACGCAAAACAAACATGACCACCTTCAACCCCAGCATCCTGGAGAGGTACTACAACAACCTGCTGACAATCCAAGACCGCAACAACTTCCTTCTTAGGTTAAAAAAGCTAGACGGGGCAATCCTCTGGATTCCCGCTTTCTTCTTCCACACGTCAGCCCCTGTCACACGGACGCTTATTGACTTCTTCATTGAGCATAAGGACCAGTTGAATGTGCAGCTTGCTTTTCCAGGCAATATCATGCACTATATCAATAGGTAAGCCTTTGAATTTCATTTTAACATTTAAAATTGAGACTTACACTAATTGACACCATGTCTAATTGCACTTGTAATTTGTATATGTACATACATGATTTTACTATTATTATTTTATTATAATATTCTACTAAATTATAAAACACCATTTAATTTCTAATACTGAGCATTAAATAATGGTTTAGATTACCTGAAGTAAAGTCTATATAATCCTATTAAAATTTGTGTTTTTTATGATATAGAGGACAGCAATAATCACATTTTATCTCCTTCTTTCCATCCCTGTATAAAATGGTCATGAAGGCTTATTGTTCAATCTGGTAAAGCTTCTGAGTGATATAGATATACAGTAACTAAACTGTAGAATGATCAGTGTCGCAGAGCTGTTTCATGATCGCTTGCATTAGCCATATTACCTTGAGCTATTTCTAAAATGCATTCAAAGTTGAAAATGTACTGCAGGAGTGCAAATTTAACACATCTATACCGACAGCCCATTTCTGCTACTCATTGTTAGGGTCACAGTTACCCCGTTGGAGAAAAGTGTTCTTTGTCATTGTGGAATATCTTCCTATCCCCTTATACAGCTACTGGAAGACTAAGCAGCTTTCCCCCAAGCGCCTGAGCACGGGGATCCTCATGTACACTCTGGCCTCAGCCATGTGTGAGGAAGTTCACCTCTATGGCTTCTGGCCCTTCGGCTGGGATCCTATCTCTGGCAAGGGACTCCCGTACCACTACTTTGACAAGAAAGGGACCAAGTTTACCACCAAGTGGCAGGAGTCCCATCAGTTGCCTGCTGAGTTCAAACTCCTGCACACATTGCACACTGAAGGAATGGTCCGGCTCAGTGTCGCCCCCTGTGCTTAGGGAGCTACGGGAAACCTCGCATGGTCTAGTCTTGCACTCCCTGATGCCACATTGCAAAACCAGCTTTACTAACATAAACAAAGCACACCTTCAGAATTTTTCCTAGTATATTTTTTCAGGGACTGAATCATTTGCAAATACCTCTGATTTTAAAATGTAGCACACGCGATAACTTGAATAGTGAATACGAGTTCATGGAGTCCTGTTTAATACACAGACATAGAAAAATATATGAAGTTTAAGGTGAACTAGCAAAAAAATGTATGTATTCGGACTTTATTGCTTTTGCTAATTTAACAGTATTTTTGGAAAAGGATAAATAGGTAAATTGTAACATGGAAACTTTACTTTTGTTTCCAGAGGGCACTTGAATGATTTATATGTAAACTAAGTGCTTTGAAGCAAAGATTCCAACACATGCTTTGGAACTCAGTCTTAGCTTTAATGAAACCCTTTATCATCTCTCATGCACAAGAGCTTAATTATCCTCTCGGTGAGAGGATCTATATATAAATATCCATCCATCCACTTATCCTTGGTCACGGCGGGACCTGGAAGCACAGTGCTGAACAGGACGGCCATCCTATATATACACTTATACAGTATGTAAAACAAACAGACACTAGAAATATATAATATACACTGTACTGCTAAATGAGGTCAGAATAAAAACAATATGTGCTTTGCATGCTACAGCAGCTTTAGCTAAGCTTATTGGTTGGAAAAATTTCCATTAGATATATAAATGCAAGAAACTTTCAGCTATGAATGAGGTTAATTTCAGGCGTTCATCTGGAATCGAAAGGTAAACTACCAAAAGAAATCCGCTTTTATGGCCTGAAAAAGACGCCTCGGTCTCATTATAATCTTCATCTCACTGAACTGTGTGCTCATGCACTAAGGTCTATTTTGTCTGCCCCTTAAACGATGCTCCACAGCGTGTGAACACTGCTGCTATCGGCAAGTCCTGCAGTCATTTTAAGGTATTTCATAATAAACCATAAAACTTTCTCAAAGAAAAAAAATGTAGCGCAATGATAACTTGTCTAGATTCTACCTCGTTTTCTTTCAGAGACAACGTTTAATAGAAGCTTGGGACTCCGTTCACTTTTCTTTGACATGATTTGTGTTTTTGAGTTTTGTTCGGAATGAGTTACCTGCTGCTGATGTGCATCTCAGGTAAGATATTAATATTTTTTAGCAGTGTCTTCACTTTGACCTAATCTGGAATGGCAAATTATTTATCTTCTAATTGAATAATTTCTTCAGTTTGAGATGCCCAAAATCCAGCTGACAGTGTTGAGAGAAAAATCACCAAAACTCCCGCCATCTCTCCCACCCAACTGAATGCTGAACAGATTATATATATCATATGTGTTTTTTTTTCATTTACAATCTTCCATGTAGAGCAATATATTTCAATGATGATTATTTGTTTATTTTCAGATCTATATAGCTCACTAAATAATATAATTATTTATTTACAATCATGGTGATAATACCTGTATTATTTTTATTGTAGTTTGACGTCCATGATTAGAAGAAAAAATCTTTAAAATATTTAGTAAAGGCTCATTGTGTAATAATTTGGCAGGACATGTATGATTGTTACTAACAAAGTGTTCATATGTATTTTTTTTGCATTTCACAGAAGTAATATTTCTGCTAGATGATTGTATCTACCTTAAAGTTTCTCTTACAACTGATAAAATTATTCATTGAGGATTATAGGAAAGCATTGATTTGTAGAAATTGATCTTAGTATAGACAATATACTTTAGGCATAATCTAGGTGAAATGTTCATTTTATTAAATGACCCTGAGTGGTACTTCTATAATAGTTCATTAGCAGAGGCTAGTCTAAAGGATAAACACATTCAGAGAAGATTGCAATAGCTAATGATTTTTTTCCTGATTGTCCTTCATTAATTGTAATCCTTTGGAAATTAAGATTACTTGGCGGTGTGGTACTTTCTGCAGCTGCCGTACCTAAAATGTCACTTTTAAGTCTTTATTTTTCTTTGTGGATGGTTGTTTTTTCAGCAGTGTAAATGACTAGGCCAGTGGGTTCTTTTTATTGTGTGATTATGTTTTGTTGTAGCCTGTGCTTCTAATAATCTCAGTAGAATTATGTTATGAACTTGATTATAGATGAGTTCTTCTGGTGGGCTCAGTATAGACAGATTGGCACTTTACAGCTAGTTTGATCATATTCATCATTTAGCATAAATCATATCTATGCTAGAAAAATGACATTTAAGGGACACAAGCCTGTGACAATCCTAGTCACCAATTCACCACTGTTCACTAATTCCTGCTCCTGATTTCATCTCCCCGTCTCCCCGTAGTTTCAAATTGTAGCAGAATATGGTGAAGGGCTGAATTTTTTTCATTGTACTAATTAATGCTAATTTCAATTAACTTTATAACTTTGTAACTTTAAACACACTCCTGCCTTAAGTCCTACGTGCAACATTCAGGGTAACCTAGATTAAGATCTTGCTCCAGGTGTTGCGTCTATGAGATGATTTAATGTCTGTATGTTTGATAGTGTTTAAAATCTTCATAATATTAACTTGATGATTAAGTCATTTGTTAAAAAAGTCAGTATGTTAACAAATGAAAAGAATGCATTTTAAGTAGAAAGCCAATTGTTCTTTTTATTCTTAATGTTTTAAGAGGCACCCTGCTCATCCCATTATAAAAAACAAATAATGTATCATATTGTATTCATGGGAACATAACAAACTAACTAACTTACTATGGTATAATATTTAGAATAATATCTTCTATTCACATGTTATGATATGCATTTATCATATACTTATTAACAAGCTAAGTGTAGTTAAAAATACGGCTTCAGTCATTTAAAAATCAAATCACATAAGTGCATATTTAGAAACAATTGGAACTTTTAATAGGAATGTAACAAATTACTTTAGTACTATGTACAATCCATACTGATTAGCATAACTAATACCATTAATAATACAATGATAATAATACTACAATAATATGGTTAATGGATATGCAAAAGACTGATATGTAAAACTTTGAATGTTTATTGCACTTTTTGTCAAGAAACCCACCAGTTCTGCACAAAAATTTCCTGCTTCAATAATTATACAGAAAAATATTGCACTGATAAAATGTCCATGCATCGATCGTCCAACCATTTATCCAGTACTGGGTGGAGAGGTCTCCAGCCTACCTCAGATAGCACTGGGTGCCAGGCAGCATGGAACATCTTGAACAAAATAATATTACAATTTTTTTGTAACACTCTTTTAATTTTTTACATCAATGTAATGGGCTCAGGTAGCAAATGCTAGAATACTCTAACATTGAATAGCTGTATAATAGATTTCAATAAATGCGTTCCCATTTGTTGTATTACTTATAGTAATTTTTAGAAATACTTTCAATATACAAACCATATAGCTTTAAATTACCTGATGTTTTGTTCAATTTGTCAAAGTTATGTTGAAATATTTTCAGCCTTCTGTGTTTTAAAAATAAACATTGTGTATACATTCTATATACAATCTTATGTCACTACTCTGTGTCTATTTTCTGATTTTGTGACTTTCCAAAAATACCCTGTCATATGAGCACACTAGTTGCGTCCACCAGTTTTTAAATAATTTTTAAAAATATGTTTTAAAATTAATAATTGAAGTGAATTATTACTTTATCGTTATTTTATATATGACTATGTATGATTATTAAAACAATAATTTTTTTAAATATGTGGAATAGACACAGGAATAAAGATAGATCGTAAGTGAACATATAGGCCTACATTTTTATACATTAAACATCCACGTGCCTTTCGATATGGTTGAATGCTGGTAATAGATGTATGTTTTTCTGCAGTCATTAAAACTTTCGGAAATACATCTGTGTCGCCAATTTCGTTTCCAAAGACATTTTATTCATTGATTCTCCACAACGCAACTAACGCTGATTCTGAACGATTCTCGTTTGTGTCATATTTCAGAGTATTGATACGCCTGTTGAATCCATCATTGCAAAATAAATCAAAGTAATCGTTTTAAAGAAGTTATTAACCTAAAATTGATTTTAATTCGATTTAATCCGCGGATATAAAATTATTGATTTTTTTCTTTTAATATATGGATTTTATAATAATAATAAATAAATAAATGACATCGATTAACGTTATTAGAACGCAATTTCAGCCCATTTTTATTATATATAATTAAGAGCGTAATATTTATTTATTTGTTTATTTGTGGGATTGTTTGTTTGGTGGGAAAAAGGCGTTACAGAGCGGCACTGTCTCCATAATCAACAAACAATTGTGAAAGCATGTAATTATTGGGTGTTTATTTTGGTTACTATTTGGTTACTTAGTATTGTTATATCTTTAAACTGTTAAGTCTTCCTTGAAAAGTAACGGTTCTTAATTCAACAAAATGTTATTGAGCAACACACTGATACATTGTGACAACCATTGCTGTGATTTTTTTTTTATTTTAAAGAACGCAGTACTTAGGAATACGAACTGGCCTATAAGCTTTGAAAAATGTATAAATTGAACGTTTCTAGCATATGTCAACATTCTACGGTTGTCAAACGTACGGGGTGTGTTTTTTGTTTCGTGCGAGGGAAACTATTCAGAGCAGTTGTAGAATCTAGTACCTGTGTTTCTAATACTATTTTAATAACACACACAACAAAATGATTTCGAACACATAACTGAAAACGGAACAAGAACAGTTTTGCTTTAACTATACAAGCGTATAGCTAAGTCATAGAAGAGGTCCATATGATAACAAAAAAGACAGGATGCTGAATATTCCATGTATTTTTTTATAGTTGGTTCGTAGTTTTCCATAGCAGCAAACATTTTACAGCAGACGTCCAACAAGAATTTTGACGAAAATAAAAGCTGGTACATACTATTTTGTGTTAGGGGTTAAAGCTAAAGCTACAACTTCAAAGACCAAAATGGACATTCACAAGTCAAGAAGATGCACGATTTTTTGGCAGAAATGAGTTAATGATGTTTCAAGTTGAAGAGTTATGAGGTTTTCTTCTTTCTCGATGCTTATTTTCAAGTATAGCTCGACTCTGCATTTATGAAATAGTGTTTTTGTTGTGTTTATGACATCATATGATCTAATAATACAGTACTTTTTAATCAACAACTACCAAACCATCTTCCAAATATCATCATCACGAAATAAGCTATAGTCATCATAAAGCTTGTAGAACAGAACAAACGAGTTTCTTCCTATGATATCTTCCTATAGTAAGCTCGTTATTTTTTAACAGAGGTAGGGTACAAAAACACAAGTAGACAGAACTGCATACAATTCAACAGGTCTTTGTAAATTCTACACACAAAAATTATGAACGCAAAGCATGTAAAATTCAATACGATTGGCAACAGTCCTATACATTTGCATGAGGACGGCAGTAGAGGGATTTTGGGCAATAGCTACATGGCAGATAGTTTAAAGGAAGAGAAGAACGTAAAAATAAATGAGTTTTAATGAACCCTTATTTGTTATCTTCCTTCGATATTTATTACTAGCCTTCGTGTAATTCCTTCGGCTCAATGTAATTGGACTAAATGCTGCGAATATGGCCTTAAATGTGATACATAAACTATGCTCATTCACATGAATAGGCTCATTTCGGTCTTATAACATTCATAAAATTCAACCGATAAAAAATACTCATAATTTTATATTTTCACAGGTGTCAAACGCATGAGATTCAATTAAAAGCTTGTTACGCAGTTACATGAAACAATTAAAAAGCCGTTGCTGAAGGTCGTCGTGGAGCTGCTGTGGCTCAGCACATTAAGTCCTGTGCGGTGAGTACGAGATTCGTGAAGTCGAATCCCTGCTGCTGTTATAATCCATCGCTGATGTAAGTCGCGCTAGCGGAATAGGGTGAAAATAGACGTGTTGTTTGTTTCGGCGTGGCATTGTGCTGGATATATCTTAGCCTTTTAGGAAGTCAGGGAAAAATCCTCAGATAATTCGCCAGAATGCCAGCGCGGTTCCTGCAAAGACCTTTGTAGAAGCTGTCGCCCGCTCCCTCCTTTGGCTTTATCGATCATAAGAAGAATAGCTCATGCTTCTGAGACGCCGCTCTACACGTGCCTTAAACAAAGGCAACATCTGCGCAACCTCCAAGGCAAAATTACTTAGTAAAATACACAAACAGCCAATACAAAATGGCACCATTCATGAGGAAATCCGAAAGATTGCAATAAATGCAATTAAATAAATACGTATAGGCAAATCCATCAATCATCTAAAGGCTTTTCAGATTTCTGATAAGGCCAGGACCCAGTATTCAAAGCAAAAGAAAGAAAAAAAGAAAGAAAGACATATCGATAGGTAGACTGTAATGAGTATAATTTAAGAACTTATATATATATTAGGCTATTTTGTTTTTAACTTGAACTATTGTAACTTCAAAATTATTTTAGGACGTCACAAGATTCGCAAATTACGTACAATGTGTGATAAACTATGAAATATTTTTTTTTTACCTCTTTTGATAAATAGTAATGAGTTGGAGGACGCGTCAAGTATTATTTTTTAGAAACACACAGGCACTTGCCGTTAGTTTAAATGCACAGCTGCAGAAAATCTCAACCGAACTTGACTGCGTCATGCACGCCGAAGTCCGGATTGGATGGGCGACCAATAATGAGCAACTAAGAATGTGACTGATCAAGATTGAAGTCTATCAAAGAGATATGCCCTCCCTCTCCACCAGGGTTGAGTGACCGTAAAACAAACCTGTTCTGGACAGCTCCAGCAGATCACATAGGAAGAGAAGCGGGTTCGGACGTGGAGATGTGCAGCACTGGCTTGTATGATAGAGATCGGTAATAAAAAAAAAATCCAAAGAAACCGAGGGGCCTTAAGACCACAATCAGGCGACTACACTCATCATTGGCAGGAAGTGGTAAATAGATTAATGTCCTGAATGAAGACCGCATACCCCGCCTATCTATGCCTTGCCAAGGATTTGGATGCTTGCACCATGAACCCAGAGATGACAATGGAGAGCATTGGCAGTCTGCATTGTGGAGTAAACCACGACCACGGTCTGATGAATATTCACAGTGCCCAACATAATCGGAACACAGACGCTTCTTTGCGGATCCATCAGGATTTAACAGCAGCATCTTCGCGGTCAGCTATGGTTTGTAGTATGGCTACGATTCTTGATGGGTCTGGAGAGTACCGTCCTGAATTGTCTCTCCCACTCCATCACGCGATGAGCATGTCAGGCGACACATCCCCATCTGCGATAGGAATGAACGGAACCTATACTCATTTAACTCCACTCCAGCCACTGCCGCCCATATCTACTGTTTCGGAGAAATTCAACCATCCCCATCATCATCACCAACACCAACGTATTTCTGGAAACGTAACAGGAAGTTTTTCGTTAATGCGGGATGAAAGGAGTTTACCAGCAATAAACAACCTCTACAGCCAGTACCATAAAGACATGACAGGTATGAATCAAAGTTTATCCCCGTTGGGCAGCAGTCCCCTTGGAAACAGCCTGAGTACCATTCATAACACACAGCAGAGCCTCCACAACTATGGAAGTCATGGGCCCGACAAGATTCTGAGCCCCAACTTTGATGACCATCCCACGATACTCGCCAGAGGGGATCAACACTTTTCTCGAGGACTCAATGGTACCACGACAGGTATTATCCCACATTTAAACGGAATGCACCATACTGGACATCAAGGGCACCCTCAATCCCACGGGCCCACGTTAATTTCCAGCCGAGACAGACCGCCCTCCTCCCCTGAAACGCAAGGTGCCAACTCGGGGCAGCTGGAGGAGATCAACACCAAGGAACTGGCACAAAGAATAGCGGCGGAACTAAAGCGATACAGCATCCCGCAGGCTATCTTCGCTCAGCGAGTACTCTGTCGCTCGCAGGGGACCCTGTCTGACCTTTTAAGGAACCCGAAACCTTGGAGTAAACTTAAATCTGGAAGGGAGACTTTTAGGCGAATGTGGAAATGGCTGCAAGAACCTGAGTTTCAAAGAATGTCGACCCTACGACTTGCAGGTAAGGCAGGTACCCTGACAAAAGCTTTGTGTATGGAATATACTTGCTTGTGCTTTAAATCCAGCGACGGAAATATAGTTAATATGGTAATATTAAATAGAGGCTAACTGTGAAATATTATAGGAAATATTTTAATACAGTTATATTAAAACTCTAAGATTTTATTATTAATCGATAATAATCGCTCAAGTAAGGCGGTCAGTAACACTTTTCCCAGTCAGTGATGTGGTGTAGCTTTGACTAAATATGTTATAAGGGAACCATTTATGCTGTTTTCTTTTGAATGGACTAAAACGATTCCTTCCTCAGAATTGTATTCTTATCGATTCTTGATGTGTTTGTCCGTTAAACCGCAATTGAATATCAGATATCCTGCTGACTTTTTACAACCCCATCTATTGCGAAGAATATAGACTCGTAAAGCATCTTGACAGTTATAAATATGACGGTAATTACCATGATTCGTTGATTTTACACTTCCCGGGTTGCCTCTTTGCATTGAATAGTTACTTCTTATTCTTCTGCTTCAATTAATATAAATCAACTATTATTCAAAATTTCATTATTGTGTCAGGATTTATTTGTGTTTATATAGGGAATGTGTGCTTGTGAGACAGGGAGGAGACAGAAACGGAAAACCCGGTTCTTTTAATTGAGCATTTTCCTTGAAGGATCCACATAAAATATGGGACAAATATTTGTAATCTTGTTGCCCCCTCTAGCGACGACAAGATCCACTTCCTAACATGCCTTCCTTTGTTCTTCCGAAAGTTCGTTTTAATTAGCCTACTTTTAAATTTCCTTCGGTCCTAGCTTCTGTTTGTACTTTTTGATAGAATACATTTCCAAATAATATATTCACTATGCATGGTAATTTATTTGGAAGAAACAATAAAATAAAATGTTGCGATTAAATACGAGTTTTATGCTAAATAACTGAAATGTAAAATATTTCAAAGAGGAATTTTAAAGTTATGTACAGAGAATAGAAGATTGAAGTTTACAAACCAAACATTATGTAAAACACATTCATTCAACATTAACGAAAGCATCATTATGTTCACAATATTAGGTATTGATATTGAGCTCCGAAGTACCAAATAACTGATCCTGGTTTGAGTAAAAAGGATAGCTTTTGTAACTCTAACACATTACATTTCGACTGGAAAATGACTATGAAAATTAATATATCGAATGAAAGTTGACTTTAGAATTTCTCTTAAGAAATGTATTTCTTTTAAATTAAACAAAAGCTCACAGACTATACAGTCAACAATATATTCGTAACTTATTTTAAAACGATACCTGAGAATTTGAGCAATTTCCTCCGGGATCAATAAAGTTTTTCTGATTCTGATTCAGAATTTCTCCTACCTGATCTTTATCTAGTACCGGCTGAAGCCCATATGGCGCCCTAGGCGAGATTCAGCGGCGGCGCCTCCTGTCCGAGACAGTCGAAATCGGCTGGCTAAGTTGCGCCCCCTCGGAAGATAGCCGGCCGCCTATGCCGCCTAATTGGCTGACTGTCTTTATCTTACTAAATGTAGAATATGTTGCTGGCCGTTTTGCTTCATGTGTTATGGTATTATGTGATCAGAGAAGCTGGAGAACTGAAAAGAACAGAAGCTGTAGAGAATCCATGAATTACTGATAGAAATCTGTGTATGACTTATAGCTAGAGCACAAAACGTAGCATTTTCTTAGTTTAAGCCGAGCGTAAACGGGTTTGTTTGCATTTGTAGTTTCAATATTCATAATTTTTTCTTATGGACGTAGTCAGTGAAAACGAAAACAACAAATATCGCGACTATTTTGTGGATTCTGTTAGGTATAGGCATTGAAGTAAGTAACATATTGATTACAACGATTTAAAAAAACACAGGCTTCGCCGTAGTATGCTATAAAGTGGTTTATTTTCTGGATGTGTGCATGCTAAAATCGCAAAGATTTGGTCCTGTACTTATGTAAGAAATTTAAAAATGCATATTCTAAGCTATGCTTATGATTTAATCAAATACACACAAATAGGTTTCTTTTGGGTGGTTAGAGATAAATTACAACCGAGTTAGCTAGTCTTAAATATTCTCACAATTACGCGAAGTGTATCGTATAGTATACGCGGACTTGTGAATAAATGGTTATTTTTCCTTGGACTTGAATGGATAGTCTCTGTGTTTTGGTATGATTACCGGGGCGCAGGGGTGGGGGGACGGGGGAACACGCCCCGTATCTCCCCCCCCCCAAGTTATATATAGCAACCCTAATCACCAAATCCGGGAAAACAACAAAGATCAATCTTGGTATAGATCTAGATCCCGTTCTTTCATATAGCAAGCAATGTGAGTGTACGTGAATTACAGTGGCGGCTGGTGAAAAAAATTCTTGGTGGGGCTGACGTACCAATAGATTTCGATCCCTTCCTAGTCCAGTATAAGCATTCAAATGAACAGTCAGAAAATGACAACAATTTCACAATCATAATTTAATTTCCTTCTCAAAATCAACAGTTTCACAGATACAGTAAATTAACAATTTACAGCTACAGTTATTTCGGGCTTGTCGGATTCCAGCTCCTTAGCGTGGGTTTTTTTCCCACCATCGTCCTTCTCGCAAGAGGGTAATTCAATAACGATCTCACCGAATTTGGTGGAAGCTGCCCCTCAACTGTCACCGTCGCCATAATCTCTCTCTTACTGACTGACCTGAGAGCAATCCAAAACTTTCCCTTTTTTTCTGTTGCAGGGGCGAAATTTCCAGCGCCCCAAAACCATTTAATTCGGCGATGCTGATAGGCCACATTTTTATTACTTTCGCCTAGCAACCATACACGATTGGCTATTTCGCTGAGAAATGATTGGTGGAAATCTGTCGGTGGAAATTTACTGTTGAATGACAGTCAGTTGGTGGAAATTTTGTTTAAATAATTCAGATTGATTGACATTGATTGACATTGATAAAAATGTACTTTTATTTTTATATATTTTATATTCCCCCCACATCTGGGAGGGCGGCGCCCGTGCGCCCCCTATGGGCCAGCCGCCATTGGTGAATTCTATATATTCTTAATCTAAACCAATCATATATGTTGGATGCATTTGTCAACATACTTTTCCCCCTTATCACTAATAGGCTAATTTATGAAGTCCATCCGCTATTTATGCTGTTGTCCAATAGGACATTTATGGGTGATTGACATCTCCATACTATAGGCAACAAAGTAACATTGTATGTATATTGGCCAGTGTCAATCAAAATGTTTATTGTACTAATCAATTAGCTCAAATCGTGCCGAATACCTCATCAAGCCTGGATAAGCTTGAAAGCTGAGACCTTTTGCTCACTGTTCGGTCCTCTCCATTTCAAAAATCTCTTGTGTGTCCCTCCTCGGTTATAAATCGTTAACTTAAGGTGCATTTGCACTTGCAGGTTTAATGAGTGAACTCGAACTCATAATCCAAAATTTTAGATCATCGTCACCCTGTATCAATTGTGATTTTATTAATGGAGAAACATTTGCAGTGGACAATAACACTATATCTGTACTTTAAGTTAAATGTTACGTAGGCTAAAATAAGTTAATGGAGAATATTGTCAAACCTTTATGATATTTTTTACGAAACCAGCGGAACGATATACGTGAGAGAACAGTAAAAAAGCTTTCTTGTTTATTTTATTGCCATCTTTCCCGCGTGGGGTTATTGTCGGTTTAGAAAACAAATATCTGTAGGTCTATGGACCTGGATCGATGCATCTAAGCTTTTGAAGATTAAAAGGGCATTAATGTTCGCGATAGTAACATAAACTCGTGGCCCAAGTTCGCATTGATTTGTAACCCGATTACAGCTTCTACCAGTAAAACTTGAAACTTGGAAACGTGGAAGTGTCTTCCTAGCACAGGATCTCACTCTATAGGCACATCTTTTGTTGACCTTTTCCAAATATTTTGAAAAGATACAGACCTTAGAGAACGTTTCAATAGTGAGTTAAGCAGTGATATATGTATTTTAGTGCAATAAATGGACCGCCTGAATGTTTGAGGTTTATTTCTGTCTCAGCCCTGTGTTTGTGTGGGTTTCTTGCTTTAAATGAGCTGGGTTGTTCCCTACCCTGCATAGCCTCTGGGATAGGCTCTGTGACCCTGAATAGGACAAGCAGTTACAGAAAATAGATGGATGTAGCAATTAAACAAATATTACAGCCTAGGAGAGTATAATGGTCTTTCTTAAATTTAGGGGGGGAATTCTAGAAAAGATTTAACATATAGGTTTTCATGCAGCCAGAAAAAATTGTCAAAATTCAAGATGTCCCTTTGAATTAAACTTATATTTTTCTTTAGTCCCAGTTAAGAAGCTTATGGGAATCACAGAATAACTTAAGGTGAAACTTTATTCATTTATTCAATAATTGTGCCAAGGCATTACTTTCATAATGCAAGATTAAAGCAACCAATCGAGCTCAAAATGACACACATAAAATAAAGAGTACAAGTAAAAAGACACAGAAGAAAGATGAAGTATGTAAGGTAACTGCTCTAGTCGTATAACATCATATGTCTCTCGCACGCAATGTCGTATTTCCTTGTTCAGCTAGAAGTTCTCAGAAAAGCCGGTCCAGGTGTAAATGAGGACACCATGTAATGACTCAGATACGAGAAGTAATCAGGAGTGACTGATCGGTTAGGCTACTTATTCAGCTAATGCATTTACACTAGGGTTGTGCGATATGGACAAAAGAAACCTATCATGATTTTCTTGAACAATATTGCGATTTTGATTTTAAACACAGACATGTTTTACAGTGTGAATATGAAACATTTTTCAAAAGGAAAACAATTAGATCTTTATCAAAGACCTGTAACATGTCTCTAAAACAGACATAAGGCAAAAAAATAAAAAATCACCTAGTAAAGGTGTAACAAAATGTCTCTAGAACAGACCTATGGCAAAAAGTAAATGTATGTGTGTGTGTGTGTGTGTGTGTGTGTGTGTGGAAAAAACAACAACCCAGACCAGTCTCCCACATATAAACAA